CAGGATTTCCATGCCTGCCGTATGAATGCACCAAGGGTTTTGTTTCCATCTGTTTGAAAAGCACTAATGACCAAGGTTGTGGTACTGGGTATGAAACAGGTTTAATATAAGTAGGAACAGGTCCTCACTTGAAAACACTTGTTTTCACTGTAGGAAAAAACAAACAGATAAACAAACAAACAAAAAAGCCAACACAAACTTTCTTTCTATGCATGAAACTATGCAGGATACTAAAAAAAAAAAAAAACAACAAAAAACCAAACCCCCAAAATCCACCAAAACCCAACCAACCAACCGAAAAAAAAAAAAAAAATTATCCTGAACTGATCATGGCCTCCTCAAACAGAAAATGCTACTCTTTGCCTGTGGGAAAACCACCTAAATTATAACTGCTATTTAAGTGTAATCTGGCAAGAAGTGAATAGCTACTGCTCAAAGGTTTTCAATAAGAATTAAAAAATTTCATATAGGATGTACAATGTGTTTTTTAATTTCTCACAAAAGAAGCAATCCAGGATGTGTAGCCATGAGAACTGGGACTGCAGCTGGATTATGGGGTATATTTAACTGTGAGACAGAGCAGAAATATATCTGTTAGCAGTGGGCAAAGAGTGCAACAACTCCACTTGTTCCAACTACTGCTCCAGTCCCCACATGCCCTGAAGGTTGGATATCAAAGTACCCTAGTAGTTCCTGTTTTAAAGTAAGTGCCTAATTAATCAAAAGAATGACAAAGGCTTTCAACTGCTTGAGGGAGGAGGGGAGAAGGGAAGAACAACTAAGTGTTGTTTTCATTTTTGCAATATCTGAGATTGGAATATAGGAAACAAAACAACCCAACCAAATAGGAAAAACAAAAGCACACCCCCCCCCCCAAAACCCCAATCAACCAAAAAAACCAAACCATATAACCCCAAACCAAAAAAAAAACAACCAACCAAAAAAACCCCACACCCTGTATCTTCAGACTCCTCCCAGGATGCCTTGCTCTCTATCACAAACACTTTCTTTTCCCTTTATCTGAAAGGTGGCCTGGGCTCTCCTCTAGGCAAAACAAGCTAAAGGGAATTGTATTTCTTTCTAGGAATTCCTTCCCTTTGTTTGTCACCACTGCACTAACTAGCTAGAGGGCTCTAGTGCAAAAATTTTATGAATAGAGTAATTAATGTTATTTCTCTTATGGATATTTACCTGGCTTGTATGAAACCTCACCTGTGGGTGAGTGAGACTGATTCTTTATTATAACGTCTATAATGTGATTTAAAGTAATTTCTCCATAGTGTTTTTTACAGATGGGATATTAAAAAGAAATCATGGCTTGAAGCTTGAGAGTTTTGTAGACATATAGGGGGGAATCTGACCAATATTAACAGTAAAGATGAGATACCATTGCTAAGAAGAGCAGTATAGTGAGTATTTGCTGTGTGTTGATCTTGCCAGATTTAAGAGACATTTCATATGAGCTGTTATGAATGCTCTTAAATGATTTCTGAAACATAAAAATTTCTCAAAAGCAAAAAAACTGTGATGCTTAGAAATTTTGTCTGCTCATGAATGTTTTTAACTCTTTCATGTAAAAAAGAGGTTTTTTTGTATGCAGGAAATTAAAAAAATCTAGTATCATTATTATTGGTAGATGGAATTGTGGGGGGTGGTATTTTTAGTGGGGTAGAAACCATGACCAGTAGATTTACTTTTGACTCACCCTGAAGCAGTCAATGCTGAGATCAGTTTCTGAATCTGTGAAGGCCTTTCCTAAGAGAATATAGAGGAAATACAGGTTCAGTACTAGTACTAAGACTGATAATTAAGCTATTGCCATTGAGCCATAGAAATGTGACATATTTCTATGAAGAACGTAGGTATATGTATGCACTTCAAAAAAGGTATGCACTTCACAAAAGGTAATGAGGTGGTTATTACAACTTCACTGAAATTTGCAGTGTGCTCCAGAATGCTTAACAATGTGTTTCTGTGTGTTTTTTGTGTTGATGTTTACACACTGCTCTGCCTTGTAATTTCTGTTAGTGGCAGTCGCTGTAGCTTTCAAACAGTTTGGATTAGTTTATTTTCCTTGAATCCAAACTAAGGATTTGCCTGGAGTGATGGCTCTCCAGTGAATATTTTAATTTTTCATTACATTTGTTTGCTAAGATGTTTTGGGGGTTTTACTGGTATCCTCAGCAAAGAAAACACTAACCCTTATTATCATGTCTATAATCATGGCAACAGCTAAAATCATGGAACACATTTGAATACATAGAAATTATCTGTATCTCTTCAGGAACTCCAGCTTTCTGCACAGCACTCCAACAAACTTTCTTTTCCATACTATAATATGAACACATAATGTAGAAAATAAATGTTCATCATACGAGATCTTGCATCCTGTCTCTGGCAGTGGCTGGAAGCATCTTACGAGCTAATCAAACAGCAAAGCATATTTCTCAATATACTCATGCATTCCCCCAGTAAGTGATGGCTCAGGGTTTTTCATAACGGGAGCTCAGACCTGTAATCTAAATTTATTTATTTCTATGAATTTAGTGAGTCATTTCTTGAGACCACATAAATATCCACAGAGGTCTGAAATGTTGCTGCAGGATTCCCCTCCTTATTACCCTTTTTTACTTCTGCTCCCTATTCCTTATTTTTTAACACAACTAATGACATTTCCTATTATCCTGTCAAACATTAGTTTCCATAAAAGTTTTGGGAAGCTATTTTATCAAGAACTTTTTGAAAATCCCAAGTAGGTTATATCACATGGTTCTTCTTTCTGATTTGGATGTTAGTTTCTTAAGACATAACTTCACTAGGTTTGCAGGACATCTGTCCCAAAAACCACACTCCTTCTCTCATTAACCACAAGGAATGGAAGATGTGAACTCTGAGGCTTATAAAAAGTGGAAGCAAGGACAGGTGGCCTGGGAAGAGTACAGGGATGTTGTCTGGGAAGCTAGGGACCAGGTTAGGAAAGCTAAGGCCTGTTAGAATTAAACTTGGCTAGGGATGCTAAGAATAACAGGAAGGGATTCTACAGGTACATAGCAAATAAAAAACAGATGAGGGAGAACGTGGGCCCCCTCCAGAAGCTCTCAGGAGAACTGGCTACACAGGATTTGGAGAAGGCTGAGGTTCTCAATGACTTCTTTGCCTCGGTCTTCACTGGCAAAGGCTCTGACCGCACCACCCAAGTCTTGGAAGGCAGACACAGGGACTGTGAGAATGAAGACCTTGGACCCACTATAGGAGAGGATCTGGTTCAAGACCATCTTAAGAACCTGAACATGCACAAGTCCATGGGACCTGAGGAAATCCATCCGCAGGTCCTGAAGGAGCTGGTGAATGAAGTTGCTAAGCCACTGTCCATCATATTTGGAAAATCATGGCAGTCAGGTGAAGTTCCCTATGACTGGAAAAAGGGAAATATAACCCCCATTTTCAAGAAGGGGAAAATGGATGACCCAGGGAATTACAGAGCAGTCAGTCTCACCTCTGTGCCTGGCAAAATCTTGGAGCAGATTCTCCTGGATGGCATGTTAAGGCACATGAAAAACAACAAGGTGCTTGGTGACAGCCAGCATGGCTTCACCAAGGGGAAATCCTGCCTGACCAATTTGGTGGCCTTCTATGATGGGGCTACGGAACTGATGGACAGGATAGAACAGTTGATGTCATCTACCTGGACTTGTGTAAAGCGTTTGACACTGTCCCACATGACATCCTTGTCTCTAAATTGGAGAGACATCAATTTGATGGATGGACCACTCGGTGGATACAGAACTGGCTGGATGGCTGCAAGTAGAGTTGTGGTCAATGGCTCAATGTCCAGCTGGAGACCAGTAGCGAGTGGTGTCCCTCAGGGATGGGTGTTGGGACCAGTCTTGTTTAACATCTTCATCGCTGACATGGACAGTGGGATTGAGTGCACCCTCAGCAAGTTTGCCGATGACACCAAGCTGTGTGGTTCGGTTGATATGCTGGAGGGAAGGAATGGCATCCAGAGGGACCCCGACACACTTGTGAGGTGGGTTGATGCCAACCTCATGAAGTTTAACCATGCCAAGTGCAAGATCCTACACCTGGGTCGGAGTGATCCCAGGCACAGCTACAGGTTGGGCAGAGAAGAGATTCAGAGCAGCCCTGTGGAGAAGGACTTGGGGGTGTTGATCGATGAGAAACTGAACATGAGCCGGCTTCAGTGTGCGCTCGCAGCCCAGAAAGCCAACCATATCCTGGGCTGCATCAAACGGAGCGTGACCAGCAGGTCGAAGGAGGTGACCCTGCCCCTCTCCTGTGCTCTTGTGAGACCTCACTTGGAGTGCTGTGTACAGTTCTGGTGTCCTCAACATAAGAAGGACATGGAACTGTTGGAACAAGTCCAGAGGAGGCCACAAAGATGATCAGGGGACTGGAGCACCTCCCGTATGAAGATAGGCTGAGGAAGTTGAGGCTGTTCAGCCTGGAGAGGAGAGGGCTGAGTGGAGACCTCATAGCAGCCTTCCAGTATCTGAAGGGGGCCTATAGGGATGCTGGGGAGGGACTCCTCATTAGGGACTGTAGTGACAAGACAAGGGGTAATGGGTTAAAACTTAAACAGGGGAAGTTTAGATTGGATATAAGGAGGAAATTCTTTCCTGTAAGGGTGGTGAGGCACTGGAATAGGTTTACCAGGGAAGTTGTGAATGCTCCATCCCTGGCAGTGTTCAAGACCAGGTTGGACAAAGCCTTGGGAGACATGGTTTAGTGTGAGGTGTCCCTGCCCATGGCAGGGGGTTGGAACTAGATGATCTTAAGCTCCTTTCTAACCCTAACTATTCTATGATTCTATGACTTAATACACAATATAGTCACTACCACCAGACAGCTCTTGGACAATGTAATTTTAAACCAGGTGACAGTAGATGAAGTGAAAGCTGCCTTCTCTGGACATGATTGGCATGAGTGGAATGAAGATGCACTTCATAGCTAAGTGAAGAAACAGTCCATAGGTTTCCCTGTATTTATACCTTTTCTTAGTGAGAGACAGAATCATTCAGACAGAAATAGTTTGTTTGCTAGTGGAGTGGATAACTACTGAAACAGATGGAAAAAGTAACCAAGGTGTTTTCTTCTTTAGGTTAGGCACACAAACTGGGTGGATGATTCAAGAAATTCAGGAGGATGCAAGTTCTGTGCTGTACTAGGAGTTATTCTAAACAATGGCTACTTTCAGTCTATGAAGAACAGTTTCACTGGCTTTGTCAAATAAAAAAAAGGTAGATTTATTCTACTCCTTAAACAAGAAGCTAAATTAACTTTACAAAGTAGCTGCTTTCTAGTGCAAGCTGCTGGAGAAAGATAAAATTTTGAAGAACTACTTTTTCTAAATGGAGGTCAAGAGCACTGTGTAACATAGGGCAGGATTTTTCAATGATAGACAATGAAAATAAATAAATTTATATCATCACATAAGTTAGGATGCATAAATAACCCATGTGTTTGCAGAGGTTTTCAGAGATTACAAATTCTGTGAATATTGAGAAGTTTTTTGGTTATATTTTTGTAATGTAGGAAGTAAGGAGTTGTGAATTCCATATAATACTGGTTTTTACACTAACACAGGTAAAGCTAAAAACCAAATAAAACATGTTTGTACACAAAACATTTAGTGGTGTTCCAAGTTCTCCTTTAATATTATTCAGGATTTAACTGCTTTTGAAAAAGCAATGGTTCAAAGCAGCAGCATTTCTTTTTCTATCAGAACCAGAATCTCCCTTATGAGGAAAGACTGAGGGAGCTGGGTCTCTATAGTTTAGAGAAGAGGAGACTGAGGGGTGACCTTATTAGTGTATATAAATATATAAAGGGGGAGTGTCACGAGGATGGAGCCAGGCTCTACTCAGTGGCAAACAATGATAGGACAAGGGGTAATGGGTACAAACTGGAACACAAGAGGTTCCACTTAAACTTGAGAAGAAACTTCTTCTCAGTGAGGGTGACGGAACACTGGAACAGGCTGCCCAGGGAGGTTGTGGAGTCTCCTTCCCTGGAGACATTCAAAACCCGCCTGGACACATTCCTGTGTAACCTTATCTAGGTGTTCCTGCTCCGGCAGGGGGATTGGACTAGATGTTCTTTTGAGGTCCCTTCCAATCTCTAGCATACTGTGAGTGACACTAAAATATGAAGCAGTCAACATGTACGGTAGGTTTTGTGTACATGCAATCTTGTTCAATATTTTTTTATCAAATCATTATTCTAAAATGAGCTTTTGTGCTCTACAGATACAGAATTTAAGGTTACCTTATTTACCTTCCAGCATATAAAACCACTGCAGATGGATGGGTCATATATGAAGATAAGCTATACTACATCAGCAAAAAATATACCTCCATGGAAAAAGCCCAGGAGTTTTGCAGGATGAATTCTACATACTTGGCTTTTATTGATAGCAATATTGAGAGAATATTCCTACAGAGAGCACTAAAAGAAAATGTAAGAATCATTATAAACAAAGAGCCTAAAGTAGAAATGTTTTCGACAATCTGCTTGCAAAACTTCAATTGACTCAGAAGTAGAGCCATCAGCGTTTTCAATAATGAAATCCACCTGAGAGGAGATCTACGACGTTCACCCCAAATGAGCCCTTTGGTCCTGTGGGATTTGGTCTGTCCTGCTCTGTGCCAGCTGTGCTGAGGCTGTGAGACAAGCTAGTGGACAGAGCAATGTGTGAAGTTGCCAGCTGTGTTGGCTTGGAAAGTAGCTGATATGAGAGGGGAAACTGTAGGTCGGCACTAGAAGGTTCTGCAGTCCTGGAGGAAGAATCAAAGATGTGTACCAGCTTCTGACACAAGATTTGCTTCTCTCCTACTCCATCCTAAGAGCCCTCAATGCTGCAGGACTCAGCTGTGATGTTCCAGATAAAAATCTGGCTTCTGCTATGTCTGAGTGTGCAAACACATCATTGTGCTTTACTGTAAGAATGAGCCTTACTGCTGGTGCCTTCATTGACTTCTCTGTGAACCTAATCAATGACACATCCATTTCTGCTTGTTTTGCTTAAAATATTTATTTACTGAAATAGTATCTTTCTGTTTTAGAAGGAATTCTGGAGTTCATCAGAAGGATACTTCTCTGGTCTAAGAGCGAGTCTTGACAAAAGTTTGGGTAAGCAAAGATGATCCCTGCAGCTCTTAACATGTAGAAGCAAATCCAGTATTTTGTGTAGCTGGAGGTACTAAATGTGCTGTTTTCAAGGGCTGAGGGCAGTCCCGCATAACAAGTACAAAGCAGAACAAAACAGTCCTACAATATTCTAAAGTGCATTAGTTTTCCCCAAAAAGAAATATGAAAAGAACATTTTTTTCTTGAGTAAACACTTACCCGAAGAGAGGCTTGGCAGCTGTACTGTTCATACACGCTCTCTCAAGTTTCTGTCAAAGATTTCCCCATAAATTGGAGTGATACTTTACTATGCTGGATTTTATGCCTATAAACACACACACTTAAACCATGCTCCATACCATAAAGGTGAGCTTTAATTGTGAGATGTTGAGATGTTAATTAGGATTCTCATCTCATAATTGAAATGTATTAATTAATAAGTATTTGTATATTTTTTCTTTAAGCTGGATAGATGGAACTCCAGTAGCCTATGTGGCTTGGGCACCGAATGAACCCAGCTTTGCAAATAATGAGGAAAATAGTGTGGTAATGTTCTCAGAGCAAGGTAAGTAACAAGACTAAACTATTAGATTTTACTTGTCTCTGCTTGGATTATAACTGATGCTGTCAAGCTTCTACTGTCAGCTGTCACACAATCTTTTATGGTTGTTTTCTGCCATTTCTTTACAGTGACAAGCCAAGAAGTTGCAGTAACTGATGAAAATACCAGTCATGGAAGAATCCCTGTTCTTAAAACTGGGTGATTTTAGTACTATGTGTCATTTAATCAGATGTCTCTGGATTTATAAGACTGATATTACACCTTTTTATAGGGTTTTTCACTCTCTCTAACAGTTTGAGTGGGCTCTCTTTTCACTCCTATGAACTTAAGAAACATTTATGACAGCTACAATAAGAGGATTGAAGGTACAAGCCAGTGAGAAAGGGAGAAAGACAAATACATGTAATGACTTAAGACTTTTACATGCTTGCAATTACTCTTCAATGTAAATATCTTGTAAATCCTAGAGCTATTTTTTTCTCTTGGTGGTATTTCTGTAACTTAGCTGAGGCTAATGAGGCTCAATAACATATGTGCAATGAAATCAATCTCCCCATTTATGTTTTATGATGAATTGACTCAGCAATCCCACCTGATTTTCTGCCTTTATATGGAGACACCAACAAGGTTCACTTTTCTAAACACAGGCATCTGGTCTGATTGAGGTGCATCCGTCCTTCTTATTGATTATTAGTTATTGATACAGAAAGAGGCAGTTATCCCACTGGTCCCTGGCATATCTACCAGCTCTGCATACATGGCTGAGCATTCCTGATCTTGTCTCAAATGATGCCAACTGTTTACATGTGGGAAGCTGAATTGGACCATAAGGAAAGCATCAAGCTTGAGTTGACAAGAAGATGTAACTAACGTAAGCTAGACCTCTGAAGTCTCATTTTGGTCACATGGAGATCTCACCTGAAGAACCAGCACTGCCCAAAGAGCAATTGGTACCAGTGCAGTATTCAGTTGCCTATATGTAGGTGACTGTAGCCACCTGTGACACCCTAGAGTTGCCCCACCTGACTGAAAGCTTCCCACAGAAACAATGCCATATCTGTCAGCTCTCTGCAAGTACCTTGCATAGCCTCCCAAACGGTACTAAGTACCTCTGTTTAGATGAATGAATCCTGCCCTAGCTCTTTATTGACTATAATAGGAGCTTAGAAGCCTAGTGTATATCTTGATGACTGAAATGAGGTATCTTAATCTGCAACCTGAATCCCTAGATAACATTATGTTAACTTGAGAAATTGGCCCCCAGAATGTGGTACATATTTCATAAAGTATGTTTGAACACTACATTGTGCCTTTATCTTGATCCACTGTTTTGGATCTCATCCATTTCAGATGCATTTTCATTTCAAATTTACTTGCTGGTATATTTCCCCTGCTGCCTGCAATGTGATGATGCCATAGCTTGAACAAATTATAAACAGGTACACACAGGGTGGAGAGCTTGGATAAGGAGCAGAAGGGTAAGGCAGTTCAAATTAAGCACAAATGGCTACAGCTGTGCTACTATTGGAGCTTCAAATGGCTCATTCAAAGCTGCCATGGTTACTTTGCCTTCAGATCAAGCTGCAGCCTGAAATATAAAACACAGAACATTGTGTTCTGCTAAAAAAATGAACCCCCTCCCCTCAAAAAAAACCACAACCCCAAACAAAAAACACTTTGACTATTATGACTTGGAAACATTGACAGGCACCACTGTGTGAGGTACCAGAAATTTAAATTATCTGTTTATTTTAGACAGCTATATGATTTTCCTCCTCTCCCTTCTCTCTGCTACCAGGCTTGCACTAGGAGTATAGGTGCTTCAGCTCACCACCTCCTGACTGACTTTTGTAATGGCTGGGTATCTTCCCCTCCAGATAGATTGTGTCTTCATCATGGAGTTAGGTGGGAAATGGAGAAATGATCTGTGGCAACAAGAGAGGCTATACATGTCAGATGAATTCACGTGAGCTCTGTTCAACCCAGTCTCCTAAATAGGAACTGCATCTTGGATAGATAAGCTTGAATATATAATCTGATGTGATTTCTTTCAGCTCTGAATTTCATTCTGAGCATTTCAGGCTTTCAGAGCTCCACCAGTCTTAAGGCTTATCATAATTTGTTCCACAGAAATTGCTGGAGAAGAACTACTATCTTAATTGGAGTTTTGTACTTAAATAATGAATAATACTACAGAATAAAAGATGGAAATGTATTTCTTCTCAATGAAATATGAGGCTTTTTGGCAACCTCTTTAAATGCAGTGCAAAACCATGTTCTTGTAGTGGTCTACCTGTACACCTGGCTGTCTCTGAGCAGAGCATTTAATTCTCTCTTGACATTTCAACTGAATGAGTGTGATGTCTATTAAAACGTACAGCCTTTTGGCTGTGTCTTTATTGTAGAAGAATGCTGATTTTTTATTTTTTTTTTTCACTTTTTTGGTACCAAAATAAGTAATGAATGCTGACTCTCCTGCTGGAGAACTTTAATTATGCAAATCCCTGCTGCCCAGCCCTATAATGGGAATAGAGAAGGCAAAGCACAGATAGCACTATGCTTCACCTTCATTACAGCATCAGTAAAATCTATTCCCCCCACTTCAATCAGCTCCTGTAGACTGTTCACTCTCATAGCTAACTTGCTTGTGAGAACTCCCTCTCCCTGCACAGTAAACATATAGTTTTAGGGTGGCATTTTTAGTTTGCTTAATACCAGTTATAGCTCTTCTGAATGCATTCACATTTCAAAAGAGGAAATACACACTGCCTGACTCGAACGTAGAGGCAATTGTTCAGGCAGCACTCACAGACAGGTTAACAACTTTGAGTGAACAGGGAGTGGTGGTCAATTAACAAACATCAAAGTCTCAGGCTGTGTGACAAGAGGGTACAACAGTAAATGCCTTAAACATCTAGGCCTATATCCTCTCTACCAGTGATCTGAAATACGTGTACACTCAGATATCCAGATTTAATCAAAATAACCTAAAGCACAGGAATGCAAATATCCAATTTATAAGTCTTAGTCTGCACTAGTCAGGCCTCTAGAGAGTATACTCTCTACTTGCAGAAACCTTTGGAATACGTAACACAAACATTAGTATGGCGCCTGTCAAATACTTGTGCAAATTTATGACTTTTCAAGGAACTAAGTATTGGAACAGCTGTTGCATCCATGCAAGGAGGAGTTAATGTGAATCAAGGAATTTTGAACCTCCTTAAGGAAAAAATTTTTTTCTGAAGACCTTTTTCTCTGTCTCTTTCTTATGCACATAGGCAAATGGGAAGATTACAGCATTGATTCAGAGAGAGTTTCCTAAAATGTGCTATGTGAAATTATGGCTCATGTTCTTGATAAATGAAAATTAATATTTCAGGAAAAACATGGAAAATTATTTTTAAGAGAATATAGAAAGAAAACAGTATTTGAATGTTGGTAGTTATAAAAACAGTGTAAAGTTTTACATGAAATAATATTATAGTTTGGTAATCTTACATAGGACTGTAAAACCTTAGTAGCATATTGTTTGCCTCACTTATGCTACCTTTTATAACAGACGTATGTTTTATTAATGCAATGGTAATACTTAAAGAATTTTTGTTCCTGTATACTTTTAGCAAAACACTCAAATTTATGAATTCTGATGAAATGTGATATTATTTCTCTCTGATATTCATTCAAGTGGAATCAAGTGGGATTCCTCTACAGCGAAAAGGTAAGAGCCTTCCTATGAGAATTTACAAAACTCTTGATACAAGAAGAACTTAATCCAAGTTTTCCCAAATCACCCCCTTTTAGAGAACAAGTCCTGCTGACAGTTACTGGGATGCATGATTATAAATCAGAGTAGTTCCATGGTGCCTTTTACAGGCATGTGAACACTCACATATTATTGGTAAACTGGACTGCTGAAGGGGTTACCCTGAGCAGTGACCCAACTTGTGACTAACTTTGAGAACAGGCAGACAGCTTTAACTAGGCTATTAAAACTTATGTAGATGTATATGCAATATTTTTGCATAAGTATTATTGCAAATACTGTAAGATAAAAATATTGCAAACTAGTTTTCAGACAATTAGCATCCCATATCCATAATCTAACGCATGCATTTTCATTAAATTCTTACAAGCATCCGCTGCACGCATTGTGTATCACTGTAATCAAGATTGCGAAAACCACATTATCTTCAGCAAGAGAGACCTGGCTGCTGGCCGGCAACAATTTGAAGCTGATTTAAACTGAGCAGACTCCAAGTTCAGACAGGGGAGCACCCCTCCTCTGTGTTTTTCATGGTTTATGTGGTGTAAAAAATTACTAAGGTCTCTCAAAGTTATATGGATTCATTCAGGGAAGGAAAATAATGAAGAAACTCATTCACATGTTCATGTCTCTGTTTGGCCACTCATTTTCTTGGCTATTCTCACCCTTCTTGGAGCTGGTGTGTCAGTTTATTTGTACAAGAGGAAAAGACAAAACCAACTACCAACAGATTCAGGCAATGAAACACTTCTAAACTGATGTGTTGGTGACTGAAGAATTGGTGAAAATGGATCCCCTGGCACTTGCCAATTCAGAGGATCAAGTTATTTGCTGAAAATAAAGGATGTACCTTAAAAGTCTCTAGAGAGGATATCTGTAATCTTAAATGTTTTCTCTTTTTGCAGTAGCAAAGTCTTTTGTCTCATTTTGCCCCACAAACTTCAGTCCATCAGACCAGAACTTTTGTTATTCCTTATTGATATCAGTATATTTTATTGCTCCTTATCCTTATCAAAAGCTGTTTCCTATTATAAAATGGTGCCTCATATACTTAGCTCTTGACTTAGCTATATCAGGTAACTTTGGCATAGAAAACCTTACTATTTAGATTTTCTGCTATGGAAAATACAGTTCATACCAGCAAAGTGTATTAAGCTCAGGTGTAGGTTTTAGTCTTTTTTCTTTTGATATGATTGTTAGCAATAGTGTGTTCACTAACATGAATTAAAATCTTCTCACCCTTGAACTTTTCATTTTGTTAATGGTTTGAAATAAATGAAATTATTAGTAAAATTTTCAGCTTCAGCCTTCCCTGTGAATCAAGTGAAAGGAAAGGGGAAGTGAGTTGCTCCTGTCTGCACAATAACTCTTCTGTCAATAACAAGGACAGCTTCTCTCCCTGCCACTTTGAATTCCGCATGAACATGCACCAACTTGCCATTTTTTAACGCAAGAAAAATGAACTGAAAACTAAGTAATGCAACAGATGATGCCGCACTAGGAATCTGCAAAAGACTAGAT